AAGTTTAGACTCTATGACGATGTCCTCCCTAGTCGGTTTTCTTATTGTATTTTCTGCGTATAGATTGTATATAATATATTATATTGTACGTTGTTTTTTTTTTCGATTATTTTGTTGAAGTACATTTTTCGCCTGACATATGATCTATCTAATATTATTATATTGTAATATAGGTGTACGTTTTCTGATTTGGGCGCACTATTTGTCTACATTATGTATCTATATCAAATATGTATATGTATATGTAACTATATCAAAACGAACCCAAACGAATATTGATCGTGAAATCCCCACGGTGAGTCAAAAAGTTTAGATAAAATCTGCAGGTTAAGTCGATGATGATGGGATACTAAAATATGGCTTTATATCCGTGACTACTGTGCGGCCGCGTTCGAATTGTCGATAACTCAAAATAATATTATTTTCTTTGAGAAAAATAAAACCTATTCTCTGAAAATCGAAAATGACATGTACATAATATTATTATATACCATGAAGTGCTGACTATACATTATATTATATTATTATTATTATATTGAGAATTTTTTAAGGAAAACTCGTTTTTTCCTTACCTATATACGTATTTTATCCATTCAAAATATAAATTGATAAAGAAAAAAATAATGATAATAATATAAGCTAACCTGTTAAATTCTATTATAAAAGTATTAATGTCGTAGAATGAATAATTCAACCATATATAGGTACATAATGTTATTATATTACGGTGCACCGAAAAGGAATAGAACGGTCACGTTTTTCAAAGCAGCTCTCCCGTAGGTACCAATCTCTTTACGATAATACGAAAATTATTGATTTTTATACGCCCGTTGTATGGATTATTTTCAGTACAGTTCATAATTAGAAATTTCGTTTATTCTTCATGTTTCTATTTTGTTTTTACCGCGACGCCCTTTTCAGAGCGAAATTCGTCGACGAATGGTTTAAAGAGTAATAAAAAATATCGAATTATTTGATTTTAGGACAAATTCTATAGGCACTAAATAGCTATCTATAAATATATTTCTCGATTATTCATCGCCACCTCGTTTTGCCGAGACGACATCACACTAAATATACAGTACAGATTTATGTATTATTATTCCCGAAACCGAAAATATTTAACTTGACAATAAAATAAAATTATTCAGTATACTTATTCTTAAACCCGTCAAATATTATAAATATCAAACCTAGTATAAAATTCTCGAGAATAGCCCCACGATCATTTTCGAGCATTTATATTGTTTTGTTACTCATTCGTATTTACATAAAAATGCAATTGAAAAATGCAGAAATATTTTAATTGTAATGGAATTTTTATGTAAATACAAATACAAATTCATGTATATTATATATATATATATATATATATATTGTACAATTAATATAGTTATAACACTTTAACTTGTAAAACACTAAATTATTACTATAATTGTAAATTTTTTTTTTTTAATTATTTGCAATTATGTTTATGCTCGAGCATAACATTTTTTTCGAGAATACGCTGAGAATTTTTACCGAACACAATACTAATTATTACTATAACTAATTGTTGATCCCTTGGAAACTAATTACTGGTAAACTATCGATATTATTATAAATGGTTTAGTTTGGTGAAACAGTTAAAACGGACTATATACAGAATGTAAATAATTGTTTATCATCTGCTTAACTCCGATGATTGTAAAAATCTATTTTTAATGGAACTCAAAATAAAATTGTATACATAATTATAAGTTCCTTTCCGTGAGATTCGCTGTTTTTCGAAGGGGCGTCTGAACGCAGTTCGTTCATCGTGCGTCTGAAATTAGAAAAATAATAATTCTTCTAAAGATTAATAATATTACTATTTGGTTTTGACTTTTTTTTATTATTAAAAAAAGAAGGTAAATATTTTAAAATAAAGAAACCCACGCACCGTATTCCTACCCATCCTCAGAATATATTAGCTTTGATTTAATAATTTTAAAATGCAAACTAAACTATAATAGAACAATATTATACTATATCGCTTAACATTTATGAAGAAATTCTTAAATTTCATGTAGTTTATTTTAGATACTGAGCAGAAGAATTTTGCTACGGTTTTCAATTATAGCATTTTTTCTGACTGGGGTGGTACTTTAGAGGTAGTTTTTTTGATTTTTCCCAGCGGTTTTCATAGTAAATGAAAAAAAGCAGGGAAAAACGTAAGATAAATGGAAAAATATGTTTAATATTAAACAATTAATATTATTAAAGAAAATTTATAATATATATGTAATTATTTTACCATAATGTGGCATATATATTGTTAAAAAAGCAACACTATTAACCGAATTCCACTCGGAATCTTTAAGTACAGATTTACATTAAATTTCCCCTCTACCTTTCCAATTATTCACCTGCAACCTAGATAGTGGCCCATATATCATGTGAAGTATTTTCGTATCTTTTTTAGTTGTAACATTCTATGACTTGAAAACTAACTAGAAATTATAGTACTGTTTTTTTTTCAAAATACAAATGTTGAGAACATACGTAAACATATATAGTGCTATCATTTGAATTTTTGGTATGCAATAAACCTAGAGTTAATCAATTATTATATTTGTTTAAATCTATTCCAGATATCCCCCCCCCTAGTTTCTTTTCGTAAATTATAAATCTTGTCTATATTTGACATCTATGAGTGCAGTCGCGTATTGAGTTTTATTTTTGTACAGAGAAATTATTAAATAAGATCCACTTATAAACATAAATCATAAACATTCTTCATACCTACCTACTTACCTACCAACCCAAGAAATCATAATGCTACAATAGGTAATTTAAGGAAATATGACAGGAAACCGTGTATAAATCAATAGCCTATATGAGAAGGGTCCACCGGAAAATTCCCAGTATCCCGGCGGGCCTATATGAGTGTATTATTAATTATTATTTATTAGTGTTCAACTATTGACATAATCCACGGCAAAGGAAACTTCAAGCAGGACAAATATAAACAATTATAGATATAACACAACAAACAGCTTGCAGCTGTGTATATTGTTTTATTAGTGTCTTATGTAAAAAAAACTTTTATCCGACGTAACTTTTAATGTATAAAATGTTAGACATATAATTTTATTTTATTAAAATTATGTTGTGTTAAATCAAAATATTATTGTACTACGTAACTGGACGTGATCGCACAACGGTCAATTTTATGATTATTTTGAACCAAATAAAAAAAAAAAAAAAAAAACTAAAACAAAATCGATAATACTGATTTTGACAATACCGTAAACTTACCAATATATCCTATGTATATCCGATTTATCACGATTTTTAAGTTACCACTTTGGGAAATCAAAAAATTACTTTCTTGCAAGCTAAGACAAAATTTTATTTCAGAAATTATGCTAATTTTGAAATTTGAAGCTAGATTATTGTAGAAGAAAAAAACCGAAAAAGACGTCCTAGGATATTGGAGACGGTTGCGGCCAATATTATAGGTAATCTGGTATAGGTTTATCTGTAAGCAACGATAACTATTATTAACGAAAATACGATTCTGAGCAAAAATTTAATTGACAGTGACGCTTTGTAAACAATATATATGCATAATATGGTAAAATAATTAAATAGGCATTATATATTTTCTTTAATAATTATTTATTTAATATTGTACGAATTTTTCCATATTTTTCCATGTTATACACAGAAAAAAAAAACCATAATATTGTTTTATTAATACCTACATTTCGTATATTTTTCGTTTGTCTGACATATATCCCGGTTTTTCCCAGATATTATGAAAAACCGCTTGAAAAATAAACAAATTTCCCTAAATTACCATGGGTATAAAATTTCCTTTTAGAAAATAAGCTACATTTCCAGTAGAAAAGTTTGCACAACAAATCAAGAGGTATTTTGCGATTAAATTAGTCCGAGGACGTGATGGCTAGGGTCTTTAGATACATCCAAAATGCATTTCACTTTTCCTTGTTTAGGTAAAGGGGAAAAATATGCAAACAACTAGTGTGTGACACACTGATTTGAACTCAGAACACCTATAGGATGATAATAGGCATAAATAATCATAAGAACAAAGCAAATATACTTTGAGAAGGATAATATAGAGTTATTCAACATAACATATAATATCCGCATAATATCAGAACTTTAAAAACCTATATTTAAAAAACTTCAGTCGGCTTAATTCTGACTTTACATTGCTCTTAAATCGCCAATATATATACGTTCAAAAAAAAAAAAATTAAAAACCAGACATGTTCCACATAGTTTTTTACTTAAAATAGTACAATAAACTCATTTTTACCACAATATAAGACTTTTAATGAACATATGCTGTTAAATTTTGAAGCATTTCAGTTCAAGTCTAACAATTTTACCACAGAGTACCTACCGAATGAAAATTACGTACAAAACTTGCAAAATAACTTGTCAAATGTTTTGAACATTTTACCACGTTTAGAAAATTCAAATATAAATTTACTGTCCAAATATTAAGTCATTACGAAATATTTTTAATTGAATTACAACAAATAAAAGATTGAAAAATAATAAGAGCGTTATTTTTGTAAATTTCCCGTTTTTCTTATGTTTTATTTTGGTTTTTCCCAGATAATATGAAAACCGTTTGGATAATCAAAAATTGACTTCCCAAAAGTACCATCTGAACAACATTTCCTTTCAAAAATGGTTCCGTTCGGAAATATATTTCGTTATCGTTATATATTTGACCAAGATTTCTGGTAGAAATTTTGTACACACCAAAAAAAAAATAAACACCTTAATACAACCAATACTTTTTTCGCTACATTTAGAATCTAAAATTATAGACATTTAATGTTTAAGCGTTTAACATTAATTTTTTAATCAGTTTAAAACTAAATTCTAAAAAGATTTAACAGTTTCTGAGGTAATGAGTGCCTTACATTATATTGAATACCATTCAGTGAAATTAATAGGTAAATTTGATAGTAACTTACGTTTTGTGAAGGAGATAATTATAACCTGCTTCTGCGGACTTCAGAACCGGAATGACAACTGCACCCGCAAGGAGAATCGGGCTTAAATGTTGGACACTGCCCTTTAGGCCTATACCAACTGAACACTTTAACGGGTTTCCGAATACAGGGACAAAGCGTCGGCAGCGACGGCATTTTCTTATCAGCGCATCCACTACCTCTAGTAATCTCGACGTTCAAGTTGTCATCTTTACGAGAATGTGACGGGCATTCAGCCGGTTTCTGGACGTTCTTACATTTTGAAACATTATCGGTGACGGGCTTCAGTAGTTTATTGACGTGGTGTTGACCGTGAGATAGGTCTGTGTTGTGAGAAATCCCCGGATTCTTGTTAGAACTATTGCACCCAGCAACTGACGGACAACCGACGGTCGATTTCTGGACGTTTTTACAAGTCGAAACTGGTTCAGGTTTTTGGACAGGTTTGGATAACTCATTGTTTCGGTTGTCATGCTTACAGGTAGGCGACGAGCATTGGACAGATTTCTGGGTGTTCTTACATTTAAAATCGTTGTCGGTGGCGGGCTTTTGGTCATTTTTATAATTCAAAACTTGTTCAGGTTTTTGGACAACTTTGGACAACTCATTGTTTCGATTTTCATCCTTGCAGGTAGTTGACGGGCATTGAACAGGTTTCTGGACGTTCTTACATTTAGAAACGTTATCGGTAGTGGACGTTTGGTCCTTTTTACAACTAGTTGACGCAGTTATTTGGCCTTTCGGCATTTCTTCTTTTTTTTTATTACCGAGATTCCAATCTGCCAAACCCCAACCAGCACCACGATCACCAGACAGTTTAGTATCATTATTTTTGTTCCGTGAGTTGTGGAATTTTCCCAAGCCCTTGCAAGGACAACTGCTTTTCCCAGCGACATCTTTATTTACAGCCGATGAACTCTCGGTGGTCGATTTCTGGACGCTTTTACAATTTTGTACGTTATTGATAACAGGTTTTGCATGCTCACTGGTCGATTTGATTTCGTTAGGGCATTTGACGGTTTTTGATGAGCTGCCTGTATTCGTTTTAACGTTTTGTTTTATCGATTTTATCCATTCCGGGGTTGGTTGAGATTTGAGATAATCACAAATATCTGGGCTATTTTTCGACTTGCATATTGGCCGTTGGCAATCATTATTGTTCTTACTGTTACCGTCCTTGCATAATTTATTTTCGGTGTTCATATTAATATATTATGTTAATTGCGTATAAGTATGTGAAAAAGCCGTCTAAGTGTTTAAAATTTTGGCAAATTTCAATTGTTTTGTCTGTAAAAAAAAAATTATAATTTAATGAAAGAATGTATTGTTTGTTTAATTTTTGTTACCAGGCAAAATAAATATTCATTTATTTACAGGACGAGCTTAAACAGTAAAAAGATCAAAACTAACATTTTGTATGTGTGTATAAAAATATGCTATTTAAACGATACGCATCACAAAAACGTGAGGGTATCCACAGCGCATTTTTCCATAAACCAGTAGGCCGAAATGTTTTTTGTATCGGCTGCAATGTCGCTGACATATTTAGTTTAGTTAACTCATTTTACCCACTACTGTGGAGAAATCGCTATACGGCTTGCTGTGTTAACCAGTACCCTATCGTGATAATATTTATAGAGAAAGTAAAAATAAAACCTTACTGGCTGTCGGAAAATTGACATGTTTAGTCGGATAGGAAAAAATACTTACAATCCAATATAATAATTGTCTTTTACTTAGGATATTCATATCCATTTACTAGATTCAAGTATTTTTCCTTTTTCTAAAGATTTATTAAATCATAAGAAATACATGTTTACATGTTTACTTAGCAAAAAAAAAATAAGTATATATTAACTAGTATACAAATTTAACAGGTTAAAAGGACTGCGCGTGACATAATTTTTTGCCCAAAAATATGCTTTACAAAATCATTAATTCTATTGTCGCGTAGAGTGTTTCGATTTCGGTCATTTATTTTTTGTTGGAAATATGAAGGTTTCTTACTGCTTATAGCTATTATTTTACGTAATGTCGCACTAAAGTTATAACGAGACATACATTTTGACAGATTATTTCAATAACTACAAAACACGTTAACCATAATTTGTTTTCTCGTTATATAAAAAAAATATTTTGAAGAAATCGTTGTGTAAAATTAAAAAATAGTTGATACTTGGGATGGGAGCGGCCACTGTTGTAGGTGAGACGTTGGGAAGGTAGGGAACATAAGGTTAATTCATTTATATCTGTAAGCAACGATAAACCATTACTTGACGAAAGATAATTTCGTGCGTAGTTCAGTAATACATAATTTGAGTATACATAAAGTGCCGTAATTTTTTTGCTATTTTCGTTTAAATTTGATTTCAAATTTTACCACGTTTAAATTAAGTCCAATATAGGTATTATTACTAAGTTTCAACTCTCTACGTGTATTTATAACCGAATTACAGCAAAAAAAACTACCAAAAATTAAAATTCCTTAAAAGTTCAAAAGTGATTAAAAATTTTTGGTAATGATAACGTAAGAAATTAAACTAAAAAGGCAACAAAAAAGGTATCGTGTGATTTTTTGATTAAATCATTTTTTCTGGTAGAAAACGCCATCCGTGTTTTTATAAAATAATGAAATCGTGAAATTGTACGTTTTCCTACGTTTTTTCTTACTTCAGTGCTTTTATTTAAAAAATTACGTCGAAAATCAAACAATCGATCTTATATTCAAAATACAATCTAGACAACTAGAGCTTTCAGAAAAGTTGCTACAAATAATAATTGAAGTAAGTTTACTAGGAAGAAACGTGTCCACAGACTAGAAAAAAAAAAGAAAGAAAAATAAATAAATATCTTAGTAAAACCAATAGCTATGTCGCTACGTTTGGAATTTAAAATCTAATCTATCGGAAAAAAGGCTATGTTATAGAAGTGACAGCAGAAGTTATTAGAGAGGATATTCGTTCTGTGGTTCTATGTCGGCTAATACCGATTCATATACCTCAGTAAAACAAACCAGTTCGATAATATAAAAGAAAGTATACCACATTATTAATTTTTATTTGAAAAAAGCTATAGTTCTTTAAAAAAAAAAAAATAGGTGCCACTGTTATACGAGGTAGGTAAGAATTTTGGAAAATAAGATATAAAACAGAATTTAATTTATATCTGTACACAACAATTAGTTGTTGTTAACAAAACCAATTTTATAGCGAAGTTCGATCAATATTATTGCTTTTTCAACAATTTAGGTTTTCACCACAACGATTGTTTAAAAAAGATTAAAATAATAAAAACTTAATAATTACAAATATAAATTAAAACGGTTGTCAATGACAACTTTATTTTTAACCTTTTTTAACCTAAAGAACCAGTTTTTCTTAATCATCTCAAATTTTAAAAAATGACTTTTTTAAATTTTCAATTAGAGCTAAGATACAACACAAATTAAATAAATGACCTAGCGAAATCTAACAAATTACTAGCAACTTTTCAACACCACTTTCGAGTCGAGACAGTGTGCCGGTGTTGCGTCAAGTTAGTACCGGAAAATTTGAAGTTTTTTTACAGCGTTTTGGAAGACTAGCATATTATGAAAATAAAATTGCAAAATCTAACAAATTTTTAGCAATTTTTTGTTATTAGTTTTATAGGTCTAACATAATTTGCTAACTTGACAGACATACAAAACAGATTTCGTGTCTTATTTTGATTGGAGCAACATGTCTAGGAGAATATTTGTTTACAGACAAAAATAATAAAACAAAATACAAATCATAGTAAAACCAATAGATCCCTCACTTCACTCCGTATCTAAAAGCAATATCAGCGAATTGAAAACTATAAATATACTGCAATAAGACTCATGCTAATAATGTATACTGTATAATGTATAATGTATAATGTATACTCGTCTGTGATCTTTTTTTTTCTTGATTATTACTTGATCTATCTGACAATATAGACGACCATTATGAAATTCGTTCACCATTGCACGTGGATTTAGTTTTTTGACCATTTATTATATTACGTCTTTTTAATATAGAATTATATGTTTTTTTTTTATTTTTTCAGAATCAAGTGCAGGTTGAGGTACCGAAAGGGATCCAGACAAATGTCAAAGATGCGATTGGAAGTAAGTCATATTTATAGATTACCTTATGTTGACATCAGTACATACAAAAAACAAATTCAGAATAATAAACCTGAAAATGTTTTCAGTTATAGAAAAATAGTTATTAAAAAAAAAAAAGAATACTTGAACATATTTAAATAAAAATTTCCTTTGTACCACTGGACTTATATATTGTTTTCGTATAAAAAAGTCACCTATATACCTACTTGAATAGAGATGTAGCCAGAAGGGGCTATAGCCCTTTCCATTAGCTGTACTAATGTATGAATACGTTTTTTATGATTTGAGTGTTAACTACGTTTCCAGCGATTTCTTTCACTCTTTAATGAACTTTTTATATACTGAACCACATAAAAACGTATTTAAGGAGAAGCACTAGTATAGATCAAAAAATATTCTTTATAGATTAGTCATGTCTAATATAAATTTAAAAATAAGGCATTAATAAAAGTTATATAATTACTGCCTTTGCTCAAAGTTCTCTTCTGGGAATATGGTTAAAAGATTAGAGGAGTTTCTAGTTTAAGTTCAATCTTATTAATTTTTGTTTTAATATTAATATTAAATATTGTATATTGATGAAAATACTTTTTTAATTTGTTTTGAACATAAACACCCCTATCTAAAGTTTAAAATAAACAGAGTTCCTGCCTCTCTTCCTCCCAAAAAAGTCCTGATTACGCCTCTATACTTAAACTTCTGTACACTAGGTTTATATAATATCACCTATCTATACATAGCACACTCTTGATAGTAATAATATTCGTTTGATTATTTAAAAAATTTAGCACTTAACGTCAGACGCGGTTCCAAAACCTGCGGTAGGTTCGTAAAAATACATTATGCGAATAATTCGATTGTGAAAACGTAGGTATCTAAATTATTACGGATTATTAGGGACGGTGCGGGTCTTTATCGGGCCTTCTGTTTTTAAACGTTCCGTTAAACCGTTGGCAATGTGACGAGATGGCGATTTGGATGCGGTACAATAAGTATAGCGGTGGCGGGACGCAATCGAGCCGAAAGAGACCGATAAGGCGAACGGCTGTGATGCTGCCGACGAACGTAACGTGAATCGAACGCAGATAACAATAATATTATGATGAATACTTGCACATAATAATGATGATAGTAATAATATTATATAGTAAATACTAAATATATTGGATGCACACGTATGCGCGCGGCCATATCCACTCCAATAACGAAATTTCGAAAATATGCTGTGCTAACAATATTAAACTATTAGGAAATTTTGTGCTGCATAGACGATCTATGAAGTAAAAAAAAAAAACAAAAACAAAAACAACTTCGCAAAAAAGTTAATATAAATTATTATACACAAATATTCGGTAAGAATCTCACGTTTTTACGATCTAGTTCAATTTAATTACATTAAAAAAAAAAATAAATTGAAAATATTTGACAACATTTTAGCATAGATTCTTTGACTTTTTTTCACCGTAAATAAAACAAAAAAAAAACCACCACAATACATTTTTTAATTGGCAAGATTTCTGATGAAATTATAAACATCAAGACACAAAACAAAAATAATAAAAATGATAAAAAGCACATGTCATCGTTAAACCAATATATCTTTTAAAGAATTTTTAGGGTTGGCAGGTTGGCGGGTACTTTAATAACTGCAAGATGCGTTCTCAAAATTCTTTAGTACAGCACTGTGGTACTATGTAAATATGTATTATTCTCTTCAACAACTACCGTGAAATAAGCGGATAAAAATGAAACAAAAAGCCAGTTTAAATAAAAAAAAAAAAATACAAAATTATCGACACGATGACGACTGGTCGAATCAAATATATTACGAGCTTATGAAATTCGTTTAAAAACCGAAATGTTGTTGACTAGATAATGTTGTATAAAATTGTAAACAAATACCCCGCGATTGACGATAATTCATATCAAATGCGACAATTTTTTAATAAAAAAAAAAAAAAAAACAAGTAAATATATCTCAAAAATCCACAAAAACGTATATGTAATATGATTTAAAGTTTTGCTTTGCTGGACTGAATAATATAGATAGTAAAACTATTTTTAAACTTTC